GGGCCCCGCGTCGTGCTTGCCGGGGTGAAGCTTGGAGCAGGGCCGACGCCGTCGACGCCGACCCCCTGCCCCCCCCCCCCTCGCTCCCGCGCCGTGATATTGAAACGAAACTTCCCCCTCCCCCTCTCGAATTCCCGCCGTGTTTCACCCTTTAGGGTTTTAATAAGGACGCGGATCGCGTTTCGGTACTCGCCCCCTGCTCCTGCCTCTCTCCTGCCTCGGCGTGGCATTGAAGTCGGCCGGGGTGGGGCCGACGGGCCGACGGCACCCGAAAGCGGGCAGGGCGTGGACGCGTGGAGTCGCGGCGGAGAGGCACGCCAAAGCACGGCAAAGTCAGCCAGCCTCCCGCCTGGAGAGGGGGCGGGAAGGGGGTAAGGGGGCGCTGAAGGGCCGTCCAAAGTTAATTGCACGTTATCCTCTTTGGCTGGCGTGCCGCGTGCGGCTAGGAGACACGAGCCAAGCCGGCCGCAGCGGGGCAGGTCTGGTAGGGCCGTGCGCCGGGTCACGCACCGGGGCCCTTTACTCCCCTCCCCCGCCAGCGTTTGCCCTTTCCCCTCGCCACCCCTTCCACGCCCCCCGCCTGCCCCCGGCCTCACCCCGCCCCGCCCGGTTCGCAAACCCTCGGCCCACGGGGTGTCTTCCACACATGTACTTGGTGCCTTTTCTGGTGCACGTAGCCTGACCTTTCGTGCCGCGGTAGATTCCGTCTCTCTCGCACTCGTGTCCCGCAGGGCTGCGTGGGAGAGAGACAGAGCGACGGAATGAGCCTGCCGGTTAACGGTGTATATCTACGCCGCCTGGGCCGCCCCTCGCCCCTAAATGGCGTTACGCACTTTGTGGACGGTCCATTCTCCACGCAGCCTGTAGAGTCCGTCCAGCCAGGGCTGCGGTGGGGAAAGGGGTCGGGCCGGCCGAAGCGTAGAAGCGTACTCCACTAATAAAGGTGGCCTTCCTTCCAACTTTCAGCATTAGTGTGATTCATGAACGCGCCTTTCTACCGCCGCCCACGCCCTCATACTTTCCTGTCCGCCGGTCGGTCTATCTGTCTGTCTTTCTGCCTGCCTGTCTGCCCGCCCTCTGCGGTCCGCTCCCACGCGCTCTATACTGCCTGGTCCCTGTGCCGCCGAGCGGAAACTTCTCCCTCTCCCGATTTTGCAGCCAAGGTCACGCGCGTCCCTTGGCGGCCGAAAGAAGCGCGTCCCGAACCCGGTTTTCCGCGCAGCCTGCCTGCCCCGTACCCGGAGCAAACCCGGAGCAACCCCGGACCCGGGCCCGGACCGGCCGGGCCAAGGTCGAGGCGCAGCGGCCGCGCCACGGCGGTGCTGGCGGAGGCACACTGGACGAGGAGGGGGAAGATAAATTATGCAGTAGGTGCGGAGACAAGCCTTTCGGCGTGGTGACGCACTTGCTGCACCCACACGGGCCTCCCCACAGCCTTGAACAGGCCCGCGCGCGGAACACCGCATTTGCACAGCGGTTTGCTATTATTTTCTGACGCGCAAGTCGTTAGCAGTGTCCCAACAAGAATATCTGCGTGTTGTGTGCACAAAGCATTGCAGCCCAAGTGCCCAGACGAGATTGTTATTTGTCGCTCAGTGCGGCTGGCGGCCGGTCTTCGCGGTCGTTCCGGGGCTGCTGCCTGCCAGCCTGCCTGCCAGCCTGGCCTTGCCGCCGCGCTGCCGGCGGTATAGCTAATGGCCATTTTGACGTGCAGGCGTCGCCGCGTCAGGGAGTCGGCGCTCAGATTAGCTCTAACTGCGTCACGGCGGCCAAATTGACCTGGCGGCTGCTCGGCCCGAGGCTCGCGCGCTCGCGGCTCCGGGGCAGTGAGTGAGCCCCAACCGCCGCGGGGTTGTTGAGGGTCGCGGCGCTGCGGTGGTGGTCATGGCCCTCATGGCCCTGCCCGGCCCTGCCGCTGTAATACCACTGGAAGTGCCGGCGGTCTTGGGGCTTTGCCTGGCTGGCTGGAGCGACCATGGCAAGGCTTTCACGAGGGCCTCCAGGGACGTCGCCGTGCCTGCTGGAGCTGGAGCCTTTGGCTGGAGCCTCCCGGACGTCGACACGGCGGTATTAATCGCGAGCGATGGAGACGAGCCGCGCTCGCTTCGCCCTCCCCCCGCGGAGCCTCCCCTCACACTCCCCTCCCACTCCCCTCCGGGCCCCTTCTTTGTGCCAGCCGCCCGGCGGGCCCTCCCTTGGCCCTGGACATCCCGTCCCGGTCGCGTCGCCGTCACGAAGAAGATGATGATGACCATGTTGATGATGTCGCCGTGGTTGTGGCGCAGGGGCGCCCAGGGGCGCTGGGGAATGAAGCTCAGGGTGTGCTCAAAGTTTTTGCTCGGGGGATGCGGAGGGGAGGGGGATGGCGAAATGGCGCTCTTTGTACTTCTTTTCTTGTGTTTCCGGCGCGTCGCTGAGACAGGTATTCCCTGCTCCTCGGGATACAACGCACGGACGGACGGCAGGGAGGCGCTTATCCTCCCCGCCCCGCCTAGCCCCGTTCCTGCTGCTGCTTGCGCTTGATTACGCGGAGAAGCCCTGCCTGTGCCCCACCCCCTCGCCCCTCACCCCCGCGGGGCCTGGCCGGGGTGAGCGGGCTGAGCCAGCCCGCCGTGTTGCCGTGCTCGCCGTGCACTGGGGACTCTGCTCGTCCCACTGACTCGACTGGCACGGCACGCCACGCCGGGACGCCGCCCTCCTCTCCTCAATGACCCTCTCGTCTGCCTCCACTCTCCACCCTTCAGCTCAGGTGTCTTGATGGAGCATTCCCTCCTGCACTCGTTGCCTCCCCCACCCACGCCCCTCCCCTCTGTATCGAATGTCGCGTCCCACGCCGCGCTCGCCTCCTCGCCTCGCTACCGAAGCAGGTTTTTACGTGCCGCCGGGGTGCGGGCCGCGGGGTCGGGTCGGTGCGGACGTTTGGAAGGGCGACCTGGGCTTCGGCCTGGGCCTATGCCTGGGCCTGGGCCTGGGCCGGGTGGTCTGCATCAGGAGCCCTGAATCCTCGTGGCGCCCTCTCTGTCCGTCCTTGTCGCTCTTGCAATCCAGTTGGCGCCGAGCGCACCGCCCTTTTCGCGAGCCTCTCGTTTCTTGCTGCAGTGGCCTGGCGGCAAGGGACTGCACTGTTAAAGTTGATTCTACACACACTGGCCTGCGCTACCGCCCAGGGTGCCGGTACCTGCCGCACCTGACGGGCTTCGCCTGGCTTCGCGCTCCGCGTGGAGGGTTGACGCGTACCTAATGAGCGTGTCTTGCCGACAGGGAGCGGGGCGGGACGGGGGTTCGACTCCCGGCTGAAGCCGCCCACGCCCCGCGCTCTTGTGTCATTAAATAGTCATACGCGTTTCGGCGCCCTTTTTTCCGCCTTCCTTTTTTTCGTGTCAGTTGAAATGAATCAGGGGCCGCATGACGTGTACCATGCCGGAGAAGTTTTCGCGATACGCACCATTTTTCTTTTCAACGTTGATTTTTTTTTTTCGATTTTTTTTCCTTTTTGCAGGGGTTGGTTTGGTTGTGAGTGGCGCTCTTGTGGGGGTGTCGGGGTGCGGTGGACCTGGCTTTTGTGGGCCCCGCCCTGCTACGCCACGCCCCGCCCCGCCCCGCCCCGCCCCGCCCCGCCCCGCCCGCCGCTAACAACCCACCGAGTTGTTACAACACGACCCTGTCTCGCTCCAGCGCGGCAGCGCGGCCCTGTCGTCTTTGGTCTGCCTTCCGGACCTAACTGAACTTGGCCCAGTGCGCGCCGCGCGCGCTGCTCCACTGCTATTCTGCACTGATGTGTTGGCCGGGAGAGGCGTCTACCCAAGCAACCCGTCCGGCCCGACTGCCGACGCTGCAGCGGCATGCCGACTCAGTGCCAGTGCTAAGGCCGACGATCGAAGTGGCGGCGGGCGGCCCAGAAAGAGCTAGCCGAGGCCCCGCACTGCACTGCACAGCACAGTGGGCCAGAAGACCGGTGGGGCTGGTCCAAATCCCGGACGCGTTTTGAGCTCCAGAGTCGCTAAATGGGACTCGAACCGAACGTGTGACCCTACCAATGGATTGCTCTCCGAATGATAGGAATCCATTGGTGGGGTCATACGTTCGGTTTCAGTCCTGTTTGACGACTCTGGACTGGAGCTCGAAACGCGTCGAGAGTTTTGGCCGCCGGTCTTCTGGCCCACTGTGCAATGGCGAGGCCGTTTTCGCGGCGGCCTTTCCACGCGTTGCTGCGCCTTGCTGGGGCATCGCGCCCCGGGAGAGAAGAGAGAGAGAGATGGAAGCGACGAGGGAATCAATGCCGGGCCGGAAATAGCGGCGCGGCTCACGGCGTGTTAGTGGCGCCGGCCGCGCTATTTATAAATGTGTGTTCCCTGACGCGTGCCGCTGGAGCGCTGGAAAAGGGGTGGGGTCGCTGCTGGGCCGCGCGGGTTTTGGGGTTTGGGGGTCGATGTTCTTTACACAAGTCGCTGGCAGGGAGTGTACTCCCCGCAGACGCCTCGGCAGACCTAAAAACAACCACAAAAAAAAACACTGAATGCTCCTCCCCTTTCCTGCGAATGGTCCGCTGTATGAATGTAGATGTGTGTGCGTGCGTGTGCACGTGGGCGTTATTCGCACGCTCGTTAGGGCATCCCCGCGATAAGATCGGCTCCCCGCGGCGCGGAGTGGCGCGGTGAGTGTAGCGCCAGTGTGGGGGACCCACTGGGGGTGCTGTGGTTTGTTCTGCTTTGCGCTGCAACGCGATACCATCTCCGCTGTACTCCGCTGTGCTCTGGTGCCCGGTGAGCGGAAGGGCGGCCCTTGATTTGCCTGCCTGCCTGCCTGCCTGGCTTTGGCACGTGCCACAGCACCCCCGGTTCCGCGCCCCGCGCGCAAGGCCCCGCGCCGCCGTCGCCGGACCAAAACTTGGACAAGTTGGCCTTTCGCGACGTTTGCCGTTTGATTTTGTTTTCGTTGTTTGTTTCGGCCGCCTGAAAGTGCTGCGACTTATCGCTCCTCTCTCTCTCTGTTTGCTCCAGGAGGTGGAGACCCGCGCCGCCGTGGCTCCGCACCCCGTCCCGGCCTTGGCCTGCCCTGCCTGCCCTGCCTGCCCTGCTCGCTCGGTGAGTTACAAGCCGTATTGGTGTCGTTCTGTGCCTGCACTGTAGGAGCTGGGCTGAAACGAACGACGCCGTTTTTAGCAAGCGCGGAGAGGCCCTCCTCCTAAACGCTGGGCCCCGCCTAGCCCCTCCACGGAGGAGGGGGAAACATGCAGTCATGACGTGGGTTGGGTTCAACGGGGACGTTTTTCCGCACCGGAGTGTTATTTCCGTGCGAAAGCGGCGAAAGCGGCTAAAGCGGGGGCAGGATGGGTGGAGGCCCCCCTCCGCCTCGTTAATATGTGAGCGGCGAGTCCGCACGGCTCCGTTTGTGTCCTGCACGGCTGTGGCACTGCGCGACCGCGTACCGCGGCCCGCAACGTCAGCATGAAATATGCACGCGGCGGGATGGGGTAGGGGTAGGCCGGCCGGGGTAGGCCGTCGGCCCTTGACTAGGCCAGAGGCAGGCTGTCTGATCTTGGTGCTGCGGCTGGCTGGCGGAGCGGAGCGGGCTGGTGTTGGACCTCCTGACGCTTGGTCAGGAGGCCACGTCGTCTACAGTGTCAATTGTTATCCTTCTTCCTCCCGCTCGTGATGTGAGCGGGGGCTGGGGTATTCCCCTTGCACTCGTGCAGAGTAAAGTCGTTTCAGTGTAATGAGTAGTCCTTAACCTTGAACCAAACCATGATCGGAACACTGGCTCTCTCTTTTCGCCCCCCTCCCTCTCTCTTTCTCTCTCTCTCACACACGCTGGTAATGCCGCCAACCGCCACTTCCCTAACCCAGGGCTCTCCCGTCTTCGCCCTTGTGTGTGTCTGTCAGTGTGTGTGAGCTCATCCCTCGCGGCGCGCGGGAGAAAGGGGATGCGTGTGTGTGCGTTGTTTGCGTCTGTGTGTGTGTGTGTTGTTAATGGGAGCATCCATCACGCACTCAGGCGGCCGCAGGTGTGGGCGTCGCCGTGCTCTCCCCCCTGCTGCCGTAACTCGCCGCCTATCAAGAATCGTGTGTGTGAAGGGGGCGTGGCGGGGCGTGGCGGGGCGTGGCGGGGCGTCGCAGCGCATGCGAGCTTTACGTGTCACCGGAAGGCCCACGCCGCGCGACGCGACGCGATGCGTTCCATATCCGGACTTTTCCTCGTAGTTTTTTCTTCTTCTTTTTATTAAGAATTTGCGAATGTAGCAAACGCATTTTCTTTCCGTCTCTGAGTCTTTTTCTAGAAATTTTGGTCTACTTTCGTTTGATAAATAAGTCATTTCGCTGCTGTTTTGCCAATGTTTTTTTTATTTTTTTTTCAAAGTCTTCTCCTTCCCTTTTATGTCTCATCCTTTTGGCGAGTTTGGACGATAGCAACAGCGCGCGCTTTTTCTCCGTCTTTCTCTCCTTTTTGGCTGCCGAGTAATAAGATTAAATTGTCGGTCCGCGATGCGCGGTGCAGTGTTGGCAGAAGTTCTGCGGGTCGGGGGTCGGGGCTTGGGCTGCGCCGCTGGACTCGCTGGCTGGCCGCCTCGGGCCTTGGGAGCGGATCCCTCTTATATGTCTGCTGTCACATCACCGGCTCGGCGGACCCGACGTCCGACCGACGCTGTCCTTTTGGCCTCGGCCCGGCGACTTATCATCAGTGTGTGGCTTTCCGTCCCTCGTTGTTCTTTTCGACAAAGTTTGCCTGTCTGCTAAATTTGTGACGTTTGTGGTTCCTGTTTAATGGGACCCCCTCTCCTCGCTGCCAAAAAAGAGGAGAGTGGGTGGCGACAAGTTGAGCTTGGCCTGCGCTCTGGACTGGCTGCTGGTTTCGGGCAGTGTAGATTTGTGTTGCAAAGTACCTAGCCGTGGGCTGCCGCACAGTGGGCCAGAAGAGCGCCACGGGCGGCCAAAACTCCAGACGCGTTTTAAGCTTCCAGAGTCGCTAAACAGGACTCGAACCGAGCGTGCGGCCATACTTATGGATACCTCGTTCGGAGAGCAATCCATTGGTGGTATCACACGTTTGGTTCGAGACCCAGCAGGTGCTCAGCACGCGTCCGGGATTTTGACCGCCTCCTCCACCGGTCCTCTGGCCCACTGTGCGGGCGCAGCGGCGCAGCGCGTCGCCAGTGGGGAGCCCCTGCGAAGCCAGCATAGGCCGTCCGCCGCACAGCCCAGCGCGGCGGGTCGGCCCTGCTCTCGACGGCCATTGCCATTACCATTAAGGGCTAGACCACACATGATCGTAGGCGTCAGGCCGGTCGCTTGTGGTCCCGCCACGTTCATTAACAGACGACACGCTAAATTTTAACGACACAAAATAGGTTTGTACTTTATGGAACGATTAATGCGCGCGTTAGATGTGTGCGGGCAGCTGGTAGGAATGGGAGGGGAGAGCTCGGTAGGGACTGTGATGTCGGCGTGCAAAGAAAGGGGACATTCCCTGCGCTGTTCCGAAGTCGTCCGAAGTCGTCCAAAATCGGTTCCGAAAGAGTCTCCGTTTCCGGGTCTCCATGTCGACGACTCTTGTTCTTTGCATTCGGAACCATGTTCTTGACTCTACATGTTTTTCTCTGCTCGTGTTGCAGGTGGGGCGCTTCCATAAGCATGCGCTGTTTATGGTGAGTGCAAGAAACGGTTAGCAGTAGGCGCATTAGGCGCAATAGCCTGTTACACATAGAGGTAAGCTCCCCGATGTATTGATTTAAATCCTGAGATGCACCTGATGACTGCGTCTCGCGACACGCTGTCTGACTTGATTCTGACGCGGCCCGGTGTCTGTTGCAGACGGAAGTTGGTCTTCACCCCGCATGCCGCTCCTCCACCCTAAGATGAGCTCGCGGCTCTCCGCCATGTTCTACACGGTGGAGGTGGGGGACACCAAGTTTACCATTCTCAAGCGCTACCAGAACCTCAAGCCCATCGGATCTGGAGCTCAGGGTATCGTGTGGTAAGCAGCCTTTTTTATCTGCTCCTCTTTGTTTTTGTCGACACTGTTACAGTTCCAGTGCGTGTATTTTTACCTTTTAGTGAGTAGTGTTTGGCATTTTAAGTGGTATTTAGTTTTAAAATTTGGTAGAGAGCTTCCAATTTTTTTTATGATTGCAAGATTTGCTTGAATTGGCATTTTCTGCCCTATGAAATAATCTGTGCATGGGTAATTTTCTTGTGCATGCCATGTTGTTGCGCTTCCCCTTTTTGGTCTGTTCTCTCTTTAGAGCCTGAAGTTAAAGTTCTAATTTCATTCACAAGCATTACTACGGAATGTGGTTCAAGTAAGGTAAAAGGGTTTTCAGCATCTGTTGAGGGTCTCTGAACTGCTAGTTATTTACTTGCTTCCAGGATGAGAGGTTTCTTAAAGTACCAATATTGCATCCTTGTTTGACAGAATGTCCCTCTCGAAAGCGAGTAGCAATATCTTCTAGAATTGCGTACTGTCCCAGGCTTTTTGAGCCACCTGTTCCTATAATGAACCAACATTTTATAATTTATTCCTTTGTAAATAAATCCCCTAATCGGTGTCAGTTGGGATTAAGGTCTTACCTTTTGAATGACTTGTAGCTATTGCTAATATGTAAGTTTAAGGTTTGTGGCTCCTCTCCCTTAAATAAACCTTGTACAACTAAAATTTGGTGGATGGGCATAAGCTGGGTAACTGTGAGCAGCATTTTTGTTCCAGTTTCAGTGACCCATAATGTGCTCAGCATTAAATTTGCAGCATTGAAAATTCAAATGTTTTAAAAAAGTACTGTCTTTGTTAAACCCATTTGTATTGAATTCTCCCCAGTCCACTTACACACACTGCAGATACAATTGTTTTGTTTGTATTTTCATTTTGTTTTAAGTTTGGCTGCTGCACTAGGACATGCTAGTTTTAAGTTTGGCTGCTGCACTAGGACATGCTAGGCGTTTGTTCCGTTATGTCCTGACTTCTATTGCATGTAGGGGGTTCTAGAAAAGTCCCTTGAGATGGCTTTTGAGATTCGGTTTCATTTCAAGGTACTCTTCGGAAGATAATCTACATGTAATGAAAGTTGAGCTTGAATACTCTGTAGTTTATGGACTGCATTTGTTTGTTTGTTTTGTTGTTTTTATTATGTAGATATTAAGTTGGCTAAATATAATTTTTCAGCAAACTGTGGGCCTGAGAGTGGTTTTTGTTGATGCAACCGTGAAGAGCTAGTTGCTTAGACGAGACAGACAGTGGTGCTGTGCAGTGTACGTGGTCTGACTGCATCCCAATCATGTTCTACTCAATGGAGGTCGAGGACACACAGTTCTCGGTGCCGAATCGCTACTCGGATATGGTGCCGAAGGGCGTTGGGGCCCAGGGCATGGTGTGGTGAGTAGCCCGCCCAACACTCGCCTGCTCTGTCGCCATCTGGCTTCACTAACAAAAACTTGCTAACAACTCTTACCAGGTGTTTACCACCTCTAACCAGCGCAACTTACTGAGGGCTCTGCCTCTGTTCATCTTTCAGAACAGTTAACATTGCGGGAATCTAACCTGGGTCAATTGAAATCTCAAATATGTATATTTCATTTTAAAAAACATGAGTTTTTTTTCAAATGTCCTATAGATAACATTTTTTGTAGCCTATTCGGGCCAAAACTTAACATTATACAAAAGATTCTCTTTACGCTCAACTTTATCCAACTCTCTGGATTTCATAAATGTAGCACAGTGTAGGGCATTTATTTTCATTGAGTTTTGCATGTGCATGAGCATTGTTAGTCCGCATGTAAGCCTTTCTATTTCTCATGATCTTTCCTTCCTTTCATTTTCTCAACCTTCTATCTGTTTTCTGTACGACAGCTTTACTCCATATCTTATTAAACCTTTGGAGTAAGATAATACTTAAATAAGTTCCATTCATTTCTGTTCATTGACTAATTATATCTTTTCCATTTACAGCGCTGCATACGACACATTGACACAACAGAATGTGGCCATCAAAAAGTTAAGCAGGCCCTTTCAAAATGTCACTCATGCCAAACGTGCTTACCGAGAATTCAAGCTTATGAAGCTTGTAAACCATAAAAATGTAAGTGTTTGCTACTTTCCTAATGTCTTTGGTGGCTTTTTGGATTGTGTTTTATTCTTGTATCTTTCTATGTCAATAGATTATTGGACTGCTGAATGCATTCACACCTCAGAAGTCATTAGAAGAATTTCAGGATGTGTATCTAGTGATGGAGCTAATGGATGCCAATTTATGCCAAGTAATTCAGATGGATTTGGACCATGAACGAATGTCCTACCTTCTGTACCAGATGCTTTGTGGAATAAAGCATCTTCACTCAGCAGGAATTATTCATAGGGTATGTTGGTATTATTAAATCTTTTGAAAACAAAGTACACATTTGTGTTCGATTCATGATGCATATTGTTGACCTCCTCTGTACCAGGACCTGAAACCCAGTAATATTGTGGTCAAGTCTGACTGCACTCTAAAAATTCTAGACTTTGGATTAGCTAGAACAGCTGGAACAACCTTCATGATGACCCCATACGTAGTCACCCGCTATTACCGTGCTCCCGAGGCAAGTGTACCTTTACTTGAAATTATCTTATACATTCAGCAATTTAACCATTTTTCCTTATTATTTTTTGTAGGTTATTCTGGGCATGGGATATAAGGAAAATGTGGATATTTGGTCAGTAGGATGCATAATGGGAGAAATGATTCGAGGCGGAGTCCTTTTCCCTGGAACTGATCACATTGATCAATGGAACAAAATAATTGGTATGTATTGAGTTGTGTTCGAATTCTTTATACTTTACCCTGATACCATGTTCCCATATTTATACACAATATTACATTCTCTCCTAGAACAACTTGGCACGCCCTCATCAGAATTTATGAAACGATTGCAACCGACTGTGCGAAGTTATGTTGAAAATAGGCCAAGACATGCTGGGTATTCCTTTGACCGTCTATTTCCTGATGCTCTATTTCCGTCCGATTCTAATGAGCACAACAGGCTAAAAGGTGACACCTCAATACATTCCAGCCTTACTTCACAATTTCTAAACATGTACCTCAAATCCGAACTAAAACCTTGGTTTCTTTCTTTACAGCGAGCCAAGCGAGGGATCTTTTATCTAAAATGTTAGTCATTGATCCTGAGAAAAGGTTATCAGTGGACGACGCATTAGTGCATCCTTACATCAGTGTCTGGTATGATGAGGGAGAAGTCAATGCGGTAAGTAGGTGTTAAAGTATTTTTTATTTACTCCTTCCTACTTGCTTACGTGTCCTAATACCGTTACAATGTTTCCCTGTCTCAGCCTGCCCCGGGGCCGTACGACCATTCGGTGGATGAACGCGATCACACTGTGGACCAGTGGAAAGAGCTCATCTACTCAGAAGTTATGGAATACGAAAAACTGCACGGCCAGAACAGCCTGGCCTCACCGGCAGCGAGGGCGACGCCACAGCCGCCCGCGGAGGACGTGGTCGAGGACATGGTGGACGGGCAGCGTGCCGCAGCCCGACGGTAGAGGTGGAGCCTGGTTAGCGGAGTCGGAGTCGAGTCGGCGATGCAGGCGAGGCCAGACTGCCAGACTGCCAAACCCAGCCACCGTGAGCAGCCCAAAGGAGCCAGACATAGAAACAACCCACAGTTCCGCCGACTACGCATAGCCGCTCTCAAGTCACACTCACAAACTTAATTCAAGTTTTAAAAAAGACTACTTTTATCTTATCCATTTATAATTTTTTTTAATTTTTTAAAATGAAACGACTACAAGTGTTTGTTACATGTGTTCGGTCAGTTTGTGTGTGACACATGAAGTGAGAAGTGAAGCACACTATTATGAATGAATTTTAATGCTGTGTGTGAATGTGTCTTGTATGTCTTGTAATTTTAGAATCAATCAGTGGCAAGTGTGTCAATAGACTCAATACTTGAATAATTTTAACTCTTTTTTTTTTCTTTTCTTTTTTATTATTATGATGAACCATGAATTGTACTAAGTGTGATTTGGAAGTAAGTGCATTTTGCACCATGTGCCAGATCTCAGGGCTGACAATTGCCTGCAGCAACGGCACGCTGGTCTCAACACCAACTCCTGTGTAATACTTATTTGGCTTGTTTTTCTGTGAGTTTCATCTCAGGCAACATTCTAAATTCCTTTTCCTCATATTTGGTAGCAGAGTTTAGAGCTTTCTTGCCACTTATTAAGTGCTGTAAGAATAATATTGCCCTATAATGGATGGTTCTGGTGTTAGAGAGTACCTGATGTACGTTGCAGTCAGTCCTACCACAAGTTATCGATATTAGCTGTAAAACTCAAGTATTACCAAAGAACTGTATACAAAACATCTTTTTAAACATAGAGAGTCGAATGTGTATCGACATGTTGGGAATCTTGTTACTTTGCTTATGACTTTCCACTGGTTGACTGGAGGACTCGCCAATGAAAGGTAGTCAAGAGTTGATATATTGAGGTGTGAAGTGGTTCTTGTGGATTGAGCCTCTTTAGCTTTAAGTGAGAGTGCAAGTGCAATAGGCTAAGGTGTAAAGCAAATTATCTTTGTGCCACAGCCATGTTTTATACTGTTGGGTGGCACAATTTGGTAAATTAATTGTTGCCATTGGGAAGTTTGATAAAGCATAGCTTCCATAATAATTACTTGCTTTGGTCCGATCCAATTAAATTTAGCTATTTGTATAAAATCCGGTCTTTTAAACGGTATGTGTTGTTGAAGGGAGAAAGGTGATTTTCTTGTAACTGCTACAGTCAGTTGTGTATCTTGTTTTTTTTTTTTCTGTTTATTTATTTGTTTTATAAGTATGTATTTCTCCTCTGTGATGTGTATAGGGCAAACTGAGAAGTTGGAAGCTGGGACACGTTTTAAAAGACATTTAAAAAAAAAAAACATTAAAAATTTATTAAAAATGTAATGAGAAGGAGGTATTAAGATAATTTGTTTGTTTGGGAAATCACAAGTGACATAGAACTTTTTAAGAATACCCATTTGTGATACTGACGTTCGTTGACTGCAATGTTATCTGCATAAAGTGGTTTCTTTACTTCAAAAAAAAAAAAGAGTATATATATATATATACACATATATATATACAGGAAAGTGAAACAGGTATATAATTTTAAATCTGTGTTATATTTGGAGAGTTGTGCACATTGCACAACAATTTGTCAGTATTTCATTGTCTTGTAATCCACAGTTTTTGACCCTCCTCACATTTTTTGTTTCTTTAATCTGTTGAAGAAAAATTTAGTGCTCTAAGCAACAACTAGATATGAGAGTACTGTGTATTTTCTGGTAAATTTAGGTCTGTGTGTAAACCTTAAAGATGAATGTGTTCTCTTGAATGAAATCCGCTATGAGGAAGTATTTTTAGCACATGGACTGGAATTTATGGGGATGTATTTTGTATAAGCGGCCCATACCCCTTTCAATTGCTTTATTTTAGTTGAAAGTGTCCGATATGGGCTTGTAACTATGTGTACTTTTGTAAATAGAACATGTCCTGCTCCAGCCCTCATTTGTGAATTATTTATATATTATGGTTATAATTGTAGCTCTATGAAGGCAGTATGTTATCATTCTTAGTGTGTATTGTACTCTAATTGACACCTGCTGTAGATTGTTTTTCCATGTCTTTGAGTACAAAGTTATTTGTATTGAGGGTTTATGACAAAATAATGCTGCAGTTTGAGGAGAAGCTTTTTAAATATCATCTGTCCTGTACTTAATAGCCCATTAATAAAGATAGTCAGTCAAACTTTTGATCATTGAACTTCTAGAATAAGTTTTTAAAAAAGCAGTGGTGTGTACAAAACTGTACCAACCTGTTTTCTCATGCTCATAATTCTTTTTATGTTCAGTTGTGGTGCAAACTGTCAAGGAACCAATTTATTTAAACAAGTCCAGCCAAATCCTTCCATTGTAAGTCACTTGGATGGGGTGGTTTATTACTTGTAAGATGACAATATTTTGGAAACATCTTCAGGGAGCTGTTGACCTTGTATTTGTGACTATAGAAAAAGAAAATTAATATGTAGTGTGCAAGTTAAACTCCCAGTTCTACTCTTTAATCCGTAAGAAACAAAAAGTATATTTATAAAAATTTTATCTAACCTGGATAAATTGAAGGATTTAAGAAAGTGTCCCAACTAGAAAAACCCTTGTGTTAAAAAAAAAGAGCTTGTTGACTTACATACTTGTCACTTCTTTCACCCTAGCACCAGGCATCACAGAATAAAGTGAAATTGAAACTAAAGTGAAACTGCTTGGCGCGTAAAATAATAATTTCCCAAAGTCTTCCTACGAGGTGCACCCTCATGCAAACTTATTGGACATAATCACACGCCCCTTGCAGAAAGGGATGCTTACTTTGTTAGTACCAGTGTCCCAGTGTGGACTGACTAAAGGAGTCCTGAAGAAGCACGTAGGTAGGCCGCATGTGACACAGCTGTTATGGAAACAAACCCAACTTTGAGTGAAAATGGTCCTTTGCAAAGACAAGCAATTTAAGAAGTTTGAGATGGCGTGCAGAACAAAATGCACACCTACTAACTATGCATGCATGGCAAAGCTATGTAACACATTGGCTATAGAATAATTTCCAGGAAGGGAATGAATATAAACCAGCAAGTGAAACAATTTTACGCATTTTATTACATGTAAATTAATATCTACTGTACAGACTGAACATATAAAGCCCCCACATGAGGAATTACAATGAAGACTGTATTTAAAAATAAAATAAATAGAGATCAATGGTACAGGGAGGGTATTTATTAGTCAGTTCCCCTTGAACGGTACGACTGTGTTTCTTTGAGTTCAAAGAACTATGCAGCCATCGTTAGCACTTTTCTGAACTAAAGATGGGAGCTGCGGGAACATTGTCGATTCTTTTTAGATCCTTGTTACTACAGTATACTTACTTAAGTTCTGTGATGTTCAGGATTGGCATAAAAATATCACATAAGTTCAAAACAACCACAAAATTTTATAACAAAGAAAAAATTTGCTGATAGAGACGAAAGGCTCTCCCCTTTGATGAAAATACACAAATAAAAAGTAAGAGAATTGATGTGCACACAAGTACAATCTGGTTTTGAACACAAAAGAAAATTATCAATTACAAGACCGTAGTCTTGGCTGGTACACATGCTATAAATCAAACTGCTTGGTCAGAAATATGTCAGACTACAAGTGCATGGGTAATATTTTAAAAAGTCTAACAATAGTAGTTCAAGAGTACAATGGGGTGTACAAAATTTAATGTCCCCTACATTTTGTTTTTCTCCTGAGTTTATGAACACAATTTAAGACAATCACAAAGAGACAAGCCTCTGCTAAAAGGCAGTAACTATGTAAACATATGGTAGGATTTTTTTTTAATGGACACAGTTTGTGGTAGTACTTTTCTCATAAAAGGGACTAGCAAAAATCAAGCTTTACCTACTGGAACAAATGTTACTTCCACTAAGAGCAACTTCCATCTTTCCTTCAAGCAAACATAAAACACAAAAAAGATGAAGAAAAAAAAAAGGAAGTGTAAGTGAAAGGTTACGTTACAACCAGGAAGTTTGGGGCACTCCCAGGTTGACATTATTCTTTCAAGCCACTCATAGAAGACAACAGAACAAGCTCTCATGATTTAAAGGCATAGAAATCCTTGATGATCAGTCATAGACATTGTATATGGCACTGAATATAATACCTTTCACAAGTTCCATTTATCATGATCGTTTCTAATGGCTAATGAAAACGGAAGACTTCAGGAACTAGGGCATTAAATTTGCACTTTACATTTACAGCTTAGCAGGAAGTTACAAGCTAACAACCAGCAATGTTCCGACAATGGCCACCAAAACAAAATTGTGACAATCCTAATGATGAAGACGGACTCCAGGTCATGGACAGTCCCGACCTAACAAGCCACATTCCTAAGAAGAAAACAATTGTTTTTGGCTCAACCAGATAGCTCACAGATACAAATGACCAGGCCTAGGAAAAGAATTGTTGCAACAGTTCAGGAAAGAAAACTAGTCTGGAATACTAATTTGCCTTTTATCACAATGATTTAGAACACAAAAAAAAAATAATCAGAATAATTTATTTGATTCATAAAAGAAGAAAAATTGCTGTCACAAAAAGTTTATGACTTTAGATATTTCATGTTATGAAAAATATATTTACATAATTTTAAGAAAGCTTCTTATTTCATACAGCATGACCAAGCATTGACCTATGTACAATGTACTATGTGCAATGTACACAATCAATAGATAAAAATATACAAATGTACAATCACAATTAATTACATTAGGATATGCCTACCCTCTAGTGAGAAGAGGACAAGCTAAGAAATTGAGACAAGTTTCCTGAGGTTTAATATGGGCCCTTTCCTCACAGAAGACCATGGGCAGAATAACAATTATGTGCAGTGTTGAACTTAAAACAAAGGTTGAGGAACGAATTTGGAAAACCACTGAAACACAATGACTCGTAATTAAGTCAAAGATCTCACCCTTCATCGAATATAAATAAAAATAAGCAAAGAGAATAAAACCAGAAAATTTACAAACTAGAATAAACTTTACAGTTATTGGCAGTTTAAAAGCATCGGTTTTGTTCCGATGGCCTCTAAAAGTCATCATTGACACCTACTAATATCACCGCTCAACATGTCAAATATGTTGCATCACTACTGGACACATACTTTCAGCACACACAGGCGTGGCGTCAATGAGCACACAAAACAAAAACTCACAGAGGTAGACGCTAAGTGTACCACTGCCATTAACTCTATAGTTTACCCTCAAAAAGAGTTAAAAATGTGCTTCAGAAAAGTTCTGGTAAGCAAGAACTTTCAAAACACAACAAAGCTGGAGGCGGTGCCTCAGGCCTCAGGTGGCTGACGGTAATTTAGTTCCTTGTCTTCTTGACCTGTTGAAAGATCCAGGAACAAAAATTATAAAATGATGAAAAAGCAGTTGGATTACAGTGCAAAATAGTTAAATCTATAAAAATGTCACCAATTATGATTTGCACTGTTCAAGTAGAGCTGAAATATTGATAATCGAATTAAACTTACCAATGTCATCAATATCATCACAGAGATCATCATACATGTCTTCCAATTCCACTTCATCATCAACTCCATCAGAGTAGTCTGATAAATTGTCAAAATATATTCCATCTACAAAGTCAGGGCGTAGATGTGGTACAGATAAATCAACTAATTCAACATTCAAATGGGAAGGAAAATCTTGCTTGCAGGCATCTAACTGTTCCCATGCAATTCCGGTGCCTGAAATTACAAACATAATTTTTGAACAGAAATTACCCACTTAAATTTTGAGCTAAAAGAAGGAACAGAAAATCGTTTGTAGATTCAAACAGGGCCACCCACATAATGCATGAGACTTACCACCAACAAGAAGTCGAAGGAAAGTATTGTTGTTACGTAGTTTGACAGCAGTTATTGCCGTTTTCACTATTGAAATCTTTACATGATCACAACCACTAACATCACACAGTTCCAAGTCTGGGCATAAAGAAATAATCCTAGAATAAAGAGAGCAAAATAAAATACATTGATTAAGATTAGTTCAACAAATCGTACAAAACATAAACTACTGTACTCTGACATGCATTTTGAAGAAAAGTGGAAATTTGAACACAAACCTCAAAAAGCCATCTCCCTTGAGTGATGGACATCCTCTGCATTCTAGCTTATGGAGAGCGCTGTTTTGTGCAAGGACAATAAGAGCCTCATCATTGATATCAGCAAGATAGCTCATTTTCAGCTCACGTAAACATGACAATCGAGCAAGTGTTTTGATTCCTTTCGTGGTCACACAATGTTCAGGAGCATATGCCCGACAACCTAGGAACATGAGGAAAGAAAATGTGCAACTATTTACATGACAAATTCCATTTTAATCTTTGTTTTTCACCACTGAAAGACATACCAGTTATGTTGAGACATTCAAGATCTTTACAGCCCTCCACAATGGTCTCTAAGCCACTGTCTGTTAAGAGATCATTGAGTTCAAGATTCAGAGATCGAAGATTACACAGCATACCGATGGATTCCAAGGAGGAATATTTAAGTCTTGGAAAATACTGTGCCATATTTAATGATCGCAATTGTGGAACAGATTCAAATATGGCCTTCACATGCTGATTAGAAAGGCTAATACAAGATGTTAATGTCAAACTTTCTAAGTAAGGGAGGCGTTTTACTGCCTGGAATAGAAAATGGCAAGCACCTTGAATTACATTATCACGCTACAAGCAACTAAAAAATATGTTGAAGTATATTTAAAATTTGTGAAAATAGCTTACCGAAAGCAATTCATTAGGTCTCAAATTGCTACAATTATTAAGATTCAATTCACGCATTGTGTAAGGTGGTAGCTTATTTAGTGCTTGTCCAGTTAGGTCACCCCACTGAGCCAAACTTAAACTCTCGAGGTCAGGTAATATTCGTAACAGGTTCTCAAGAAACCGTTCATCCACTCCTGAGCAAACTGAAAACAAATCCAAACTCATTACAAGTGAGTCATTAAAAGCCGAATTCAAGGTTTAGTAGGTAACCACAACTCACAGTTCAAGTTAAGTTTGCGAAGTTTTGAGCAACCACTACCCAATCTTTGCAGACCATATTTATTCAGTCTTACACCTGTAGCATCTAACTCATGCAAGTTGGGACAGAGAGTACCTGAAAGTTATCAATGTGTTAGGACTCATCATGATAGCATCTTCAAAATAAAATAAAAATAAGATCCAGAAAATAATATTACCAACAATGGGAAGAAACTTGCTGCGCCTATGCCTACTGTGAGCATAAATGGCAAGAGACAAAAATGACAGGCTGTCACCACATCTCATTAAAATACTTTTTAGTACTCCCATACTGTGAAGGTGGTGAGGAGGTAAGGCCAGCTGTTGCATGTCTAAGGAGTGCATACGCCGCCACATACTGCGAGCAACAAATTGCCACCGCTTGCATACTGGAAAAAGGACCGAACAGGAAATGGAGGGTGAGACTTTTCAACAATTAGGGTACCTAGTGAGGATTGTTCAAGAAAGTGACACTTCATCTCAACATTCTGATGACAGAACTTTAAACTCACCTCTTTCAACACGAACTCGATCAGTGAGAGAAAGGAAAGAAAATATGTGAAGAAGACAATCATCATTAAGAGTGGAAAAAGGAGAAACTTCTCCCTCCCTGTACTCATCAACCACATCCATTGGCTCAGATTCACTAAAAAGACTTGATTGAAAATCTAGTTGGTTCCTTTTCTGTTAGGAGAGACAAAATGTTGAAACAAATACAAGCCAGATAATGTACAAAAATTCCTAAGACAGCAAAGATACTACATATACTTACAGCTTTCTCACAAACAGCTTCACCAGATTCCTTAAAGAAACGTTTGCCAGGCAGCCATTGAACTGTTCCATCGGGTAACTCAATAGGCTGATGCACTTTGTCTGCTTTATTCACACAAAGTTGATATCCAAACAAAGAAAGCTCTTTTGGTGGAGCATTTAAGGCACTGATGGAGTAACATGAAAATTTAACAGTAATTGTACAAATGGAGATTTAAAACAAGTCATTCATGGGTGACGGTAGTAAAAAATTCACTTACGTCCTCGCATCGTCTGGCTTGTGAAAAGTGACAAAGCCATAAAATGCATGTCTTCTTTTAGTTGGTTCACGTTTAACATGAGCATTTATCACTTTACCAAACTTGGTAAAGAAAGCTTTCAGCTTTGAGTCCGTAACCTAAAACATATTAATTCAATTCTATACACCGTAAATTGAAAAAGTTGGAGAGTGTCAGTTTTCTAAAATTTCAAAAAAAAAAGTGGATACAAGACAATTTTTACTTGCAAAATAGAAGCAGTGGTTAATTAAAAGTGCTAGAGTTGCTTGTGTATGGTGATGTAGTACAAGTAAAAAACTCACCCTGTACGGAAGATTTCCCACAAATAATTTTCTTAGAGGGGGCCCATCAGGATCTTCTGGACTATCGTCTTTTTTAGGAGGAGGAATCCATATATCGCCAAATTCTAAATATATATCAACAGAGAAAATACGTAAGATCCACAAGCATAATCCACCAAGTTCATATGCAAATTAAATCACACCAACCATCATTCAGCTTTGACCCAGATGAACTAGGGACAATATTATTATCCAAATGCATTGGAGCAGGAGGCCCTGCCCCAATAAAACACATTTGGTTGTGATTTGGAGCCCCGTCCAAAAATACTACATTTTCAGTTTCATTTTCATCAAAGTCCCAAGCTTTGTCACTAAAACTGACTGACCAGGAATCCATTTCTTAACGTGAATAAATATAAATTCAAAAGAGTCCTGAAAAAGAAGAAGACATTTTAACAAATATTAGCGAAATACTAAAAATGCTAAATTCTGTGATCAGGAAAGTCATTATTGTGAACTAGATCTGTGGGGTATTGTGGCACAAGAAAACATAATCAATCATACATCATACGATAAAAATACACACATTAATTCAAAGTTAGGAATATAATTGAGAAAAAAACATAAACAATGACAGAGAAAATGTGCACTTACGTGATATCATAAAATGAGACAAGTAGCACAGTTCACTTAATGTAGTTCGATAGTCTGATGAACACTTCGCACTAGAGTACCGTTAAAACATTTGGTGACACGGTTACCTTCACAACGTTCAATTTATTCTTCTTACGGCACACTGCTCGAGAGTAGGAGCAAGGAACTTGTTCGCCATTTTGGATTTGGAACTGAACCTGAGACTTCCACGGCGCGGGGGAGAATGTCGTCGGCAGAGTCTCTGTCAGTCTGAAGTAACGACGATGTAACAAAAACTGAGATTCATTGCACCAAACATTTTGACAACTTCAATGGACAGTGATAAGTGCCATTGACAAAGAAATAAGATACTGCTTTCAAATGCTTTGAGTACGAAACAAGAAAGTACTCATTAAAAAGACAAACGGCACTGTCTCTTCCGACTATACCCCACGGCCTGAGAGACATTATATTCTGCCGTATGCTGCACCGGGAATATCACAGCCTGTGCAGAAATTTCTTCTTGCATATTTCGCGGGAGCTTCAAAAGAACCTTTAAAGGATTTCCACTTCTAATTCTTTTAAAATTCCATCCATGGCCACGGTTGACTCACTTCAAACGGGACAAAGTTTCCAAAGTGGATGGGAAATGTCTATTCTCAGTTGTTGCAAATTCTAGTGTTCGGTATCGCTATCATTCATTGGCGCACATGTGCACTATTCTCTAATAAAAGTCCAGAGTGCGTTTCTTTTACGGTGCAGAATACAATATCCAGACCAGTCTTCGCAGCCCGCAGCGTCAGGCTCTCGACCCGAGTCGTATCGAGCCGAGCCAAGCCGAGTCAGCTGGTCCCGGGCGGAGCCGAGCCGAGTCAAGCAGTGGGGGCAGCTTCTGCCGCTCTGCCAAGCAGCTAGCAGACGAGCCCGGCCCGGCGCGGCCCCGGCCCGGCCCGGTCAGTCGGAGTCGGGAGGTGGCGGCGAACTGGCGACCGGGCCGCCGTGTCTGTCGATGCAGTGTCGTTTCCCGTTGTGTCCGAGTTTGTGCTCTGTGCGCTGCGAACGTTTTCAGTGATTGTGCGTTGTGCTTGATCCGTGTCCTCTGCCCCTTGGTGCGCTACGTGGCCGACGACGCTGCTAGCGTCGCCATGGATGGGAATAGCGCCGGGGGCCCCGGGGCGGGGGCAGGTGCCGGTGCGGGCGCGTCCCCAACCGAGCCAGGCAGCAGCCCGGGGACGTCCTCGGGGACCGCGCCCGGCTCGGGGTCCGCCGCGGGCCCCCGCACGGGGATGCAGCCCAACGCCGCCAAGGCGTCCACGGCGTCCACGGCGTCCACGGCGTCCGCCTCGCACCCGGGGTGTGGCTGCCTGAGCCACCCCGCCATCAACCCCATCACCGTGACGGTGTCGATGACGACGGGTGGTCAGTTCACGTTACAAGTAGATCAGTTGGAAAGTGTGGAAACCCTCAAGAAAATGGCTTCCAAGAAGCTAAGAGTGCCCAAGGAACGGATATGCCTTTTGTACAGAGACAGGTGAGTGTGAAATGAGGTGTTTCGGGTCGTAATTTGTGTGGGGGTGGTGCTTGGAAATCTCGGTTGGTTATTTTCTGTTCTAAAACGAGGGCAGACTTGACAACGTCGCCGTTCTACCTTCATCAGCTGGGCACGCGCGGGGGCCGCGGAGAAGGGGCGGGAGGGAGGTCCCCAGTGCGGGGGTGGGGGAGGGGGGAAGGGCAGCGGAGAGGGCCTTTCGAATCGACGCTTCGCTTGGCTACCTGGCAAGCCTGGCAAGCAGGTCCTGCAGCCTGCGGCCGTGCGCCGTGCGCGTCCCCGAGTGTCTTTCGAAGCCAGCCGAGATTTTCTCGCGGGGCGGGGCACGGCAGGGCGTAGGGGCCTCGCAAGCACACCTCGCCAGGCCGCGCGGGGAGGGCGCGTGGCTTACCATGCCTGAGCCAAATTTTCGGGAAATGATTCCATGTGGAAATTCCGGGACTTCCCCCTCCTGCGGCGAGGCTGGACCGCGCTGGGCTTGGCTGCGCCGGGCTGCGCGTGTCGTGTGGGTGGACCTGGGTGGACGGGGACGGGAGATCGATTCATCGGCAGAGCAGCGCGTTGCAGCGTTGTAGCCTCCCCGGCGAGGATCCAGGAGTGACCTGAGCGATAAGCGACCTGAGCGAGGGGCGGTCACAAAAGGGGGACAAAAGCTGCCCACTTGCAGGACTCGGGACTCCTTGGCCACGTCGGGCCTCGGCCTCAGCACTGCTGCAGCGAGGCTTGCAGCGACGAGCCGGGCGTGTCCTCTCGGCTCCTCGGGGTGCCTCGGCCACAGGGCCACAGTGCCTCGGCCCGATAAAAGAGGTCGCGGCCGCGCCAATGGAGCAACTGAGACAAATTGGCGGCCCGCGCCCTGCTGCTGGCAGCCTGCTGCACCCGGATGCGTGGCGGCGACGACGACGACGCATCCTTCCAGGCGGCCGTAATATTTAATTAGGCTAAGCCAGCCGGCAGACAAACGAGGTTCGACACTTTGAGCAGCGCGCACTGTACGCCGCAATGAAATTGGAAGCGGCCCGCCCCCTCCCCCTCCCCTCCCCTCGCCCTCGGCGGGCCGACCGGGCCGACATGCGGGCTGCGCGTGGAGGCGCGTCGGCGCGTCCAACGGGGGATGCACGGCCTGCACGGCCTGCACGGCAGCAAGTAGTACAGCAGCAGAAGTGGCAGCACAGCCGCGGCCACCACGCCAGGTCACGGTTGCGGCGGACGAGCTGTACCCGCCCCACCGCCTCGCCGCGTCCATGCCATGCCAGCCATGCCGCTGTGCCCATGGCGGTGTCTGCTGTGCGCCTGCTGCGCCCCACCCGGCCGGCCTGGCGGCCTGGCCTCATGGCTGCCGGCCGCCTCGTGGCCCCGTGACAGGCCGGGCATGGCTGGGCATGGCCGGCACAGTCGATTTTCCTCGTTACGTGGAGAGTGGAGAGAGAGAGAGAGAGAAGTTTCTCGTCACGCGCAGGTCCACGTCGACGCGGGCGGCCGGGCCTTGGCCGGGCTGCCCCAGGCGCTGCCACTCTGCCACCGCGCTATTTGTGGAAAGTCTCATCACATCACCGAAGGATTTCCGAAGGACACCAAGAGCTCCGCTCCGCTTATCTCTTCTCTTTGCCCAGCGTAATTCCTCTTCAAGTTGAGCCCTTCGGCTCGGCCTCTGGCGCGTTGCTGGCGTTGCTGGCGCCGCCACTGTGAAGAAGCAGCACTCTGAGCCTCTCCGCGTCACGGCGCGGCGGGGCGGGCCAATCATCGGATGGAGTGGAGTGAGATGTTTGTTTGACGCGGCACTGCGTCGCACTGCGTCGCACTCCAGTGACGACACAGCCACAGCACAGTGATTCCGAAAAGTGTAGTCGCTCTGTCGCTGTCGCACTCATGGTGCGTCTCGTAGGGGTGTGAGAGGGAGCCAGCGGAGCCAGCGGCGACACGAATCTTCGCATAGCCTCGGAGCGGCACTTACATGCGTTATCGCGCGGATGGTTCCGCCCGGCGGCGAGCACAGCCCCGGTGGGGTGACTTCGGTCGTCGTCATCGTTGCTGAGAACGTGACTCAGATGGCCTGCTCGGCCTTCCTAGCCGTCCGAGGTGACGTGGTCCTGCCTCGACGCGACGCGACTCCTGCCTGCCCTGCGTGCCCGCCAGGCCACCGCCAGGCCTCGGAGCTACATTCGTAAACAGGCCCGAGCGAGCGTGTGTGTTTCTGTCCGTCGAGTGTACTCCCATTTCGTGCGAGCGCGAGTGGGAGACGGAGACGGCGGGGGCGCTGTACCCACGAGCCCTGTACTACGCTGGGAGGGGCCCCGCCCCGGCCAGGACGCCGTCGAGTGTGTTCGCGCTTCGCGGCCCCCTCGCCGGGCCGCCCCCGTACCGCGCCGCCCCCAGCTTGGACTCAACCTTGGCTCGGCCCGCGTCCGTCCACCGAGCAGCGCCGCACCTACGCTGCTGCCTCTGCACTTCGCCCGACGTTTCATTTGGGCCGCGTTTTCAGCGGCGTAGGCAGGCGCGCACGACATACCACAGCGAAACACGGCTGGCGGAGGACGGAGTGGACGGAGCGCTGGGGCACTGTGGAAGCGTCGCCGCCAGGCTCGCCGCGCCGCCGCACTGGTTCCACTGGTCCACGATCAAGACGGGACGGAGGAGCAGGCGATCGGCGGCAGATGCGCGCCGAGAAGGACGCGCAGGACTCGCAGGTGGACCCATCCAGCGCATCCAGCGTCCGCCGGCCGGCCGATTCCGATGCAATGCGTGCGCCTGCTCCGCGCTCCGCCTTTGTCCAGGGCGGCGTGGAGCGGCCGAGCGAGCGGCAGTGGCGTAGCCGGCGTAGGGTGGAGGACGTTGACCGCGCACCGCGTACCGCGCGGCGGGCCGACCGGCCGACGCCAAGCTGCTCGACGCTCCCGGCCCACGTCGCTGCCCGCCGCTCCCCGGGCGTGGCCGGGCGTGGCCGGGCGTGGCGACCAGCTCGACTCACGGATGAGACGAGACGCCCGACGCCCCACGCGCCGCCAGGCCGGGCTGCCGTGCGAAGCACTGCGAAGCTCTGCAAAGCGTGCAAAGCGACGCGGTGCAGGGTCTCCACTGTCGTCCTCCTGCTTCACGGCCTCCTTGGCATCCACCTGGGGGCATCTGGAGGCAGCAGCCATCCGCGCCCGCGCGCCACGGCCGGGCATTGTTTGGTTATCCGACAAGGAAACGAGGCCGCCGTCAATCTATCTGGACACAAAGTGCGCGCAGCACGCCGCAGGACGCACCAAAGGGCCTCAGGTTGCCTGCCTCGCCTGCCCAGGTTGTTTCGTTGCGTTTTCTTTACCTGATGCACCTGGCGACAATGGGCCGAGGCTGCCTGGCACCCGGGCGAGGGTGGATGCTGGCGGCAGCTTGGTCTGCCCGGCGGCGCGTCGCGCTGCTGCCAACTCTGCCTGCACCACGCTCGGCAAGTGCCAAAAGTGCGTCGTCTCGTCGTTTTGCAGTGTCGGAGGCTGGCTGGCTGCCGCTGGCTGGCGGCCTCGGCAAGGTGCGAATAAAGGCGGAGAGGCTCGCTCCCGATGTGTCCAGTGGACACACAGTGGACAGGACATCGTCCACCCACCGCGGCCATCTGCAGGCCGATTCCGAACAGAGGTTTCGTCGTCTCTCTCGCACTCAAGGGCCGTTCTGCAGGAGTGAGAGGGATGAACACTGCGGAACCGCCCCGCTGCGTACGCGGCCGCGACTCAATAGCATTTCCTCGGCCGCCCGTCTGCCGCGCGCCGCGCCCCGCCGCCCTTCTGATGCGCGTCTATTCCCGAGCAGTGCGCGTGACGTTTATGTAAGAGAGAGAGAGAGACCGAGGTGACACAAGCCCCTCGCAGCGGGCCGCGCTGGGCTGGGCTCCCCGGCCGGGCTCCCTCCCCGGCACGGCTAGCGCGCGTGGCGCGGCGAGGGCGTTAGGTAAGTGCTGCGTTATGCAGCGTTGTCGGGCCGCTGTTAATTTCGGTGGCGGTACCTACCCGGGGTTCTGGGTTCCTCCAGCCGCGGCGTCGCGCCGCGCGCCGCGGGTTTCTCACTTGCCCGTCGGCCGCCCCTTGCAGTGCAGTGTCAGGCCAAGCCGGCGGGCTTTGGTACGTTTTATCCCCGCTCTGCAGCACGCGCAGCGCCGCGGCGACCGCCTCGCGAGTTTTTCTCGTTCGCGATTTTCTTTTCTTTTCGTTTCTTTCCTTTGCGCGCCGTCTCCCTTTTTCCTCTTCCCCTTCGCCGCGGAGCCGCGGAGCAGCGCAGCACAGCACTGGCAGCGTAACGAACGGGGCGAGGGAAGGGAGCAAGGTGGATTGGAAGGGAGGCCGCGGCCGCGCCGAGGGTTGCCGTGCCGTTGCCGTGCCGTGCCGTGCCGTGCCGTGCCGTGCCGTGCCGTGCCGTGCCCTGCCACGCCTGGAAGGGGAGTGTCTGGGAGTGTCGCCGCTCGCCGCAGTCAGCTGTTGCCCTCCGTCCTTCTTGAGATTGGGGAAGAACGCGCGGCCATTCGCTCTCCCTGTCTCTCTCGCGCGCCCAGTGACGCTCGTCGCCGCCGTGCCTGACCGATGAATGGCCCGAAGACTGACGCCTCCGGAAACTCGAGTCGGTCCTGGTTTCTTGGTTTTCACGCGGCGCGGCTGTTTACCTTCAGTCGTCGAGGCGTCGGCGCGTCGGCCGCGAGGCTGAGTGAGGCCGCGCTGCCAAGTTGGCAGTCCTGGTTCTGCTTTCTGCTCGATGGCCGACGGACAGATAGGTCAGCCGCGGGTCACGGCGATGAAAATAGGCGGCCGTGGCCTCGCGTCGCGTATCGGCTACTCTTCGGCAGCGGCTGGCGGTGGCCCAGCGCCCAGCAGCCACACTTCGATTTTTGTCCGAATTTTGATGTCCATTTCGGATGTGTTGCTACTCCGACGGCGACGTCCACGGCGTTGAACGACTGCTGGCTGTGCTTGTGCTGCGCGCGGGCCTCGACGGCCGCGTCGTGGCTCCAGCCC